CAGTGCAGCTTAAAAAAAACAATGTGTAAAAAAAATCTAACTTTGACAAGTAAGGAAGGGCTAAGTTCGGATGTAACCGAACATTTCATACTCTCGCCACCTTCATCTTCAACTTCATTGTTCGGCGAAGTTGTGAAGGGATTACAATCAAATTGGTATCACATTAACTTATTTTAAAGGTCATGGACTCACTTAGTTTTATTACTATATTTAAATTTTCGTCAACGAAAATTATACTTAAATCATTCTCAAATGAATATTATATATTGAGAATTCATTATATAATATATTATTAGGGTAATGAGGTTTAGACTAAGACCAATTTTACATAATTTGAGCGCCAAACCAGTAATATAATTTTATAATTTTTAAGCAAACGTGTCCACATAATTTCATTAAAATATCACATATTTTGACCAACCTAAACGGTCAAAAGTCAGGTGGAAAATTAGAAATCATTATACAGGACTTATTGGGGCACAGAAATGAAAGGGCATTAATTTTTGACATTGTTAAAATATATTTGAAAACTTATTTTCAAAAATTTTATAAATATAAACGTATATATGGAGAAAAGTCAGCCGGACGTTTCAAAATAGTGAATATCAGTTATATGAAGGTTAAGGAAAGTTTTCGCCCAATTCTATTTATTTTAGGCACTAAGATACACGTTATTAGAAAACATGCTCACTCATTGAGATAACTCACATATTGGCCGATATACATATGTAGTATAAAGTCAACTGGAAGTCAGAAGATATTTATATTAGATATATGGGGCTAAGGGAAGTATTGACCCGATTCAACCCTTTTTGATATAAGGGTATATTATTATCAAGAGAACATTTTTCCCGAATTTTAATAACATATTTCTCAGATGGGTCTTGAACCGTTATGGTCCGATTTTGACAGTAGGGGTTCTTATAAGATTTATGCTTGGTGAATTTAGTTATTATATATCGGCCAACATGTGAGTTATCTTAATCAAATTGAGCGAGCGTGTTTTTCTAATAACGGTGCATCTGCGAGCCTAAAATGGATAAAATCGAGTGAAGACTTGCCCTGCCCCTATATAACTAATATCAGGATTTTCAAATATCCGGTTGATTTTACTCCTTATATATTGGTGATGGTATGTGAGGTACCTTAATGAAACACAGAGAGAGCCTTTTTCAGCAAATAATATGTAGTAATGCTAAAAACGTCTAAACATGGACACATTGTGTGCAAAGTTTGGCGACTCGTTTCGAGAAATGGCCCAATCAAATGGCCGCCAAGATCATCCGATTTAACGCCACTAGATTCTTTTCTTTGGGAGTATGTTAAATCAACCAGCATTAATCGAGGAGCTCTAAGACAATATTTAGCGAACTATAGCCGAAATTCCAGTCAAAATGCTGCACCGGGTCATCGAAAATTGGCGTAAACGGGGAGATATGAAACGGAGCATTTGGCCGACATTTTGTTGAAATCATAAATGGCAGAAAATTATCTATTATTATTTGATTTACATTACATTAGAAGATAGCTCTTGAAAGTTGAAACTTGTGGCAGCGAAATTTAAACAGTTTCAAAAAATATGTAGCCCCATTTAAATTAAAAGAAAATTGATGAAATTGAAGGATGTTTCACTTCTAATAAGAAGGTAATCTGAAAGCAATCTAAAGTAGGAAATAAAGTGCAGTGGTTGCTGCTACCAGTATTATATTATATTATAGGTAAATAGCAATTGTTGTCGATATTTTATTATAATGAGCGAATTTAACTAAATCAAAAGTTGGCGACAATGATTTTGCTACAACCTTGTTGTAGTTGTTGTTAACCATTTACATGCATATCATTAACACCGCTTTGTGTTTACTTATTTTTGTTGTTTATTCAAATGATCGAAGTGTGCTAGACGTGTGGTATAAAAACAAACGTCACATAACATTTAGAATTCTTCTGTTTGTTTGACCCCTGTAAACCCTCATTCGTTACCAAACGAAGATTTTTTTGATTATTTCATTTAATAAAAGTTCGGCATTTCGCATGTATCTACTAGCTACATTAATATATATGTGTGTACGAGTATGTGCCTTTATTTGTATGAAAATATTGCACGCCATGAGTTTATTCTCTCTTTTGCTTGTTTTCTTTCTATTTATTTTGATGTTTTAATTGTTTGTATTAAAAAGTGCGTTAGTGCCGTTTCACACAGGGATTCAAAAGAGTCTCATACCAGTTTATTGTGGGCGAGGGGACGACGAGGAAAGACGAAGGGACCGTGCCACTCGTGTTCGGGTGGCGCGCTTTGTGTTCTTGTTCGTAACAGCTCGCTGCTACCCTTTTCAGCATTCCTTTTCACTTTCAAATTCTTTGAATGGTTGCAAGAGCGCTCGGTTTCAAATGAATTCGATCGCAAATTTGAGTTCTGTTATCTATTTTTGTATGTAATATGCAAATACGTATGCATAGAATAATAGAAATATTATGACAAATTGTAAATAAGGAGAAAATTAAGATATAGATTATGGAGTAAAGAAATTATGAATTTTTAATACGGAGTAAAGAAATTATGAGTTTTTAATACTTAAAGATTAGGAAATTCCTATTATAAATTTGGCCTTGAAAATATTAGTTGCGGATATTCAATACATTCCTGTGGATTAGGTAATTCCCGTCTTTAGTATTTCTTTGAAACTATTTAGCGGGTAGGTACTTGTATTATGCATATTGTTCTACCATATTCATGGTAATTCATTGCAAGCAAAATGTGTGACCATCATCTCAACATACAAATGAAATGCGCAGCACGCAGTGTTGCGCGGTGTTGCGCAGTCGAACCGCACAAATATTTACGAAAATTTTGTGAAAAGGAATGCAGAAAAACTAGACTCGAGTTGCTGGACTCTTTTTGACCGTGTGAATGCCCAGGGCGACACCAAAAGAAAATTTTAAAAACATCAGACTATTTTGAATCCCTGTCTGAAACGGCACTTAGTGAGCGGAAATACTGCGATGACACATCCCATACTCTATTAAATCAATATTCTTGGGCTTAAAATACAGAAACAGATGCTTATTCAAGCTTCTTTTCTTTGCGTAGGTTAAATGTGTCTTGGCCGATTGCAAAATTAATTGAATAAACATACCTATATACATATGCATATCTAAATCTAAATAGAAGTACAGCAAATACACATGTTGAGCTAAAACCAGTTTTCCTTACAATAGCTCTAGAGTTTGTATATTTGTATGTACATTTTAACAATTTATAGAGCAACTTACTGCATATATGAAATTCCTTTTGCAGCATTTGCTAAAATTTACTTTATCTGTTCACTAGTAGTACTGCATATTTGTGTTTTTATACCCTCGTAAAAAGCTATATTAAGTTTGCCACGAAGTGTGTTCTGTAACCAGAAAGAAACGTCGCAAACCCTAAAATAAATATATATTTAAATGTTTGTCTGTATATACGCGAACTTGTCCCTCAGTGTTTGAGATATCGATATTCCACACGTTCTTTTCTCCCCAATAAGCTTCTCATTTGCTGGAACCTCCAATATCGGACCACTATAGAATCTAACTGCCATACAATCCTTATATAAAATCTTGTGTTGTGAAGCTTCAATACAACCGAAGTTATTATTTTTTCTTGTTTTTTTAATTGTTTAATGGGTGCACTAAAAAGATAATTAACAATGTAGCTGTTGTTAATTTCATTGGAATTTATCGAAAAAAAGTGGTTATTATTATAAGTATCAGTGATTAGTGAAGTTTAGTTCTGTTTAATGTTCTGCAGATTTCCAAATTAATGTGGAAAGCTATACGATTTAGTTAACAGCGCCTTGTGCATTATTACATTTAACACAAAAGAAGTAAATGGTTTCTCCCAATACTATAGACTGAATGTTATTTTATCAATTATTAACGCGTTCTCTTTTAGGCAAATTCATTCGGAAATGGAGATTTTCTTTAGTAAAATCAGATCTTCTGACTGTAGCTTGGCACTCAAGCATTCAGACTGGTCTACAGCATAAAAAGAAATTACATACACACTAGACAGGCTGATTCGTATCGTTGTGAAGTAAACCAAATTTTTGGCAAATATATAATACTTTTTAAACATTATTGTCATCGTTCGGTCTGATTACAGCGATCTTCAAACACTTCGGAACCTTTTTTTAGTATGATTTTCGGTTTAATGGGATCGTTTTTTCCAATTCACAAGTTATCTTCTTTAAATGAAATTCATGCATAAAGCTATTAATAATCGCCGTTTATGGTTTCCCATTTTCAAGATAGTCGATGGAAATTGTTCCATCCTTATCCCAAAACTTTTTCTGCTGAAGCGTCTTTCAATGCTTAGGATATAATTCATTATATGCAACCCAATGGGATATCTGTTGATTAGACGCTCGGCAGTCTTCCAAAATCATTTTGTGGATATTTTGAAGTTTTAGTTTGTAATAATATTAACCCTCCACAGGGTTTATCGTCTTCAGTGCTTTGAAGATTAGTTCTAATTCCAAAATGTGTAGATCTATTCTCATGGAGATATCTCATAGAAACAATGCGATGATTTTCTAGTGGCTGGTATGAGGAAAAATTTTAAAGTTTACTTGTACGAATACAGTAAACACTATAACACTACAATACTTGATAATTACTACTTCCACGAATTTCAAACTGTTGGGATTATTGACGGAAAACTCACCGTATTGAAACACACCGTTCCTTAAATTGTTTCGTTATTTTCAGTTTCTAGCATGATAAACCCTCATATCCTAATTACCTACAATATACATTTAACCTGTGATATGTTAGATCTAGATTTAACTATTTACTTTCATAATAACAACAACTGGAGTCTCAACCCTTAAATAAACAAACAATATATTGAAATTATGTACACATAATATTAAGGAGATGGAGGTAGGTATTTTGAAATATGTATTTGTATTTAAAATAAAATATTTAGCAACTGAAATATAGACTAATTATGCGCATTCAAATGACATCAACAAATATCATATCGCAAATAGACACAAACTTTGCGCAGGAGCGATAGAGAGCAAAGCGACGATCGACATAGTAAAAGAGCAACAACAAATATCCAACAAGAGCAGCAGTGAAAGAGCAACCAAGCAGCTGATGGCCAACAAAGCGGCAACAAGAAAAATTCAGAAACTCATGCGAAAAATAGCGTTAATATGCTTTTAGTTCGAGACAGAGGTAGCGTTCAAGGCATACTCGTAGAAGCCAGCCGGTTGACGGAAATCGTATATGCATTACATATAAAATTGTTGTACACCCGTACTATGGGTTTAGTTCCTCACCTAACGTAAACGCAACTAGTCACAACCAAAGTGAATGTTACTCACACGATAAACACGAGCGACCAACCGATGGAGACAGTTTGAGTTTGTGAATTACAAAGAATAATTTAAACTAAACGAATACAAATTCAAAAAAAAAAAAACAAGTTTAGCAAAGTTTTCGAACGAACCAGAAATCAAAAACGCCTTGATTTTAATATAAGATTATTATAAAATAAGTGGCTCAACAACCATTAGCCATTCACGGTGACGGTTGTTGGCAGTAAATAATTGTAGCTGAAGAGCGGCAAAGAATAAACAACAACAGAGAAAACTAGCTTATAAAAACGGTTATGCCGAGTGTATAGTTAAGCTTCATTGTAAAAAAAATAAAAACAGGTTGCTCATAAACTGAATGTTCATATTACGAACATAAACGCAAGCGAGTATCAGAAGAAAAAATCAATAGCGCGCTAACAGTTCGAACGAAACGACGTAAAAAACGACATTCCATTGAAAGGGAAAACAGTTAATAGTTAAATACTTACTAAAGCATTGAAAACCCCATTAAAAAACGTGACAGAAATGATAGCAAGACATGTCTCGGTTTGCCACATGCTAACTGGCGCGATGCTAGTATTGCTAGTCTGTGGCACACCTGCCAAAGCAGCGCCAATGGGTGAAGCAGCAACAAAAGTGCATGGAATCAGCAACAACAATGGCACTTTAGAAATTGGCAAAATCGGATATGATCATGCCAACATAACACCTACTGGATTTTCTTCTACAGATGTTCAGCCGTATGCTAGCACCGAAGTCGAAACAGAAGCCGAAACGGCGACCACTTCGTTGCCCATAACTATCAAGGAAATGGCTTTAACTGAAGTGGCAGTAGTGACTGAGTTGAAGGGCCGGGACCAGCAAGTGATCGCGCGTGAACTTGCTAATGAAGTCGCGTCAATGAAAGACGTGACAGTTGACGATAGCGATTTTGTTGCTGCAACAACATTTGGGACGAATTTTCCCCATCAAATGCATACCGCGACAACAACTATAACAATATCACCAGCAACAGAAACACCGATAGTCCCTTCGGGAGCAACTGAAAGCCCGGCGATTTTAGGTGAATTGGTGAGAGCAGCCGCGGCGGCAAATGAGATTTTAGCAGCTGCTTTAAACGTCGCAACAATGGCAGTCTCTAAAATTAACATTACCACGCCTGCAACTAAGGTTGATGTAGCTAACCTACCAACCACATTGCAACCAAAAGCGGCACCAAACACCACATCTGCTGACAATCATGAGCAAGTAAATTACAGTGAAGGGTTGCTGGAAACTACTGAAGTTAATAAATGGCAACATAACGATGTTGAGAACACAGAAGTAAACACTGCGATACCAAATTATACAACTCCGCCACTGGGAAAGGAGAATAAAGCATTTGGCGTAAGTGTTTCAGCTGAGGTCAACCATAAAAATTTGCCTGTTAAAGAGTTAGAGAGAATACGCGAAAACCAGACAACAATACCAATTGATATTCAGAAAACACCAGCCGAATCAATAACAAAGTCAGCACCCGAAGAAGCTACAGATTTAACCGATACGGATCATGAAGTTTCCGAATCAATGAATATTGAAAAAACAAAAGAGTCTCAAGAATCTTTAGCCTTATCTCCGCCAAGGAGTAACAAAAATTTTGGAACTTCAACTACAGACGCCGAAAATTTAGTAATAAACATCATCGACAACATCGCGATACAAACAGAACCTGCTGTAGAATCAACAATTTATGTAGCATCGATAACCACAGAAAAGGTTAATGGAACTACAGAAACTGAAGACCTGAAGCAAGTGCAACAAGACCAATCTTTGCGAGAAACTGGAGAGAATGCGACAGAATATGCAGTTAGAACAACAACTACTGAATCGCTGGAAACACTTATTGCCGTGGAAAGCGAAGCGCAGGTACCAAATAAAATTGATTTCGTATCTGAGAAAGAGGTGTTAGAAACTATAACTACTATATCCGAACCCACAACAATTGAGGATAGTAGTTCTAATATATTATCAATTGCTTCCGCATCTATTTTGCCAACAAACAAAACAATAACTGCTACAACAATAGAGCGTTTAACTGATGAAAATCTGACAACTGAGACAGAAACAAATCAACAAATTAATTATACAACAATAGCGCCAGTACTTGTAATTACAACAACAGGAGTTTTAGAGGAGGATATGTCATCTACAGAATCGTCAGACGTTAAAACCAGTATATTAGAAACGGATAACATTGCAGCTACGGAACAAAGTGAAATGTTGGTGGGTGATATACAGCAAACGACAACATCATCTAGTCCAACATTAACTTCAGACAGCATAACAGAGACATCCGATGAACAACAGACAGAACGATCAGCAAAGGAAACAACAACAGTCTCTGCGGGAGAGTTGTTCACATCATTCGAAAAAGATGAAGAAACAGCACAAAACTCACTAGAGGCTATAAAGACAACTACAAACTTCATTGATGGAGAAATCACTGGAACAGGAATACCGTTGGAAGAAAATATCTCCACACAGAGCGAAATATCTCCTACAGAAGCAAGTAAAAATCTAGCAAATTTCAAAGTGTTCCCTAATGGTGCACAACAAACAACAACAGAAGACATAACGACCTTGAGAAATAATGCGGAAACAACAACTTACACTACCAAGGCGCCGGCAACGCAACCGTCAGAAATGGATGACACAAAAACAGGAACGACAACTGAGATACGGGAAACAATTACAGCTACTACTGAAGAAGAGCTAAGCACTACCATAAAAACCGCAGAAAATAAGCTTGATTCGGAGGATGTTGCTGAATCAGAAGCGAGGGCAGCCGCTGAAGTTGAAGAGAAGCCACTCTATACGAGCACAGTGAACGAGCAGCTGCAGCAGCAACGAGTGGTAAACGAGAGTGACAGCGCAAAAACTACCACGAACACTATCGTAACAACTGAAGAAAGTGCAATAGAAGACGCGGATGCAGCAACCAGTACAACTACTGCAGATATAATAGCAACAACAACAAATCTAATACCTGAGGTAGATGTAACAACAATTATTTTAAGTACTACTCCTGAACAATATATCACCACAACAACAACAACCACTTTGTCCCCAATGAGTCTAATTGTAGCCGAGCATGAAGCGCGTTCCCTCGACAAGACGCCACCGCGAGTTAGTCGGATTGTCAATGAAGATGGTGTCGAGGTGTTGACTGGCTACTCCATAGTACATCAGAGGAAAGCAGCGGCCTTGGCGGCATTGGCAACGGACGGTGCGTAATGAAATAGTGAAAAACCTAGCATCTGGTTGCGTGAGAGTCTAGAACTGAACTTTTATTTACATACCTACTAAAAAAGAAAACATCGAAAAGTCTCACTTAACCTTATAAATATACAAGCACGTCTAAAGATTGGTTCATTAACATAAGAACAGCAACAATAATTAAATTATATCCGGTTGTGGTGGAATCTCTGGTAAGCCATAACAGTGCTATTTTGTTTACATGAGCTATTCATAATGTATAAATGTATGTATACGTATGAATATAAAATAAAACTATTTTAAGATTATTTTTTTTTGCCAAATGTGATACCGAAAAATGGAACTACATACCATTTATACCACTCATGCCTACATTTATGTATGTATTATAGCATATACACATGTTTTTGTCATTATTATTGTCATATCGAAAAGCTCGTAACAAAAGTCAAACACGGGCAGCATCCTCAATGACATCTGTTAAAATTAAAAATTGCAGCTATGCAGGCAACAAGTTTTCTTTCATCAATACTTGATAATGTTAACAATTATAATAATAAACTATTAAATTAAATGTTAAAGCATACTTATATGTTTATTAAAACATTGCAAAATACCGGATAGACTTTTGGTTGTAAAAAATAATCAAATTTTGTGCGAAAACCTCTTCAATGCATCCATTAATATTTGTACACATTTTAGGCGAGCACCAGTTTACTATTTGGTATATACATTTATTATACACAATTCAATTTAGCAAGAAAAAAATCATGGTTTTATTAATTTTCTTCAGCACTTTGGAGACATTATTTGATGTATTTTTTGTTTTTCGTGAATATTTACATATTTTCATATTTCATATGCCTTGCAAAATTATTGCGACGAACTCGTTTTGCATAATCGTTTATTAAACAACGATCGTTATTTCTGTTATTCGTATAAACCCATTAGGAAATGATACGGTGCTGTTGAAACCTTTTAGTTAATGTTGCTTGGTTTTTCCTAGAAATCTTACAAAATATTAAATGTCATTTCTTTAAGACAATATAGTTGAAACAAAATTATTTTGTTTAAGGTTTAATCGCACACCAATTTAGCGTCCTTATATGTATATGAGTAAGAATGCCTTTGAAACTTATAAATGACTCCAAAAAAAAAATGAAATAATATATGTATAACGGAAATAAGGAAAAATTTTTACACGAGTAGAATCAAACTATCGAAACCTAATCACGCCGTTTTTGGACTCTGTGAATCGACTTCAATATGCAGACTTAACAAAGACAAAATCTAACATGTACATACATATGTACTTGTAGGTATCCAAAGATAAAACAGCGCCATTACGAAATTTTGTTTGCAACTAATATTATATTATATAATGAATTATAAAGGAAAATTCGGTTTCAGAAGTAAATGATTTCAGTTTTATTTATTACTAATACTATAGGTGAATGAATGTATTGAAGGCAAATGAATTTCAAAAATCAAAACGTAAACTGATACAAATAAACAAAATGTACGTCAACCCAACGTAAGTATTTTGCAGCTGTTTGTTTATGACGTGAATGGTATGACAGACGATTTTTACGATGAAAAAAAAAATTGAAGAACGCATTTGCTTAAATGTTGTGTTTTCAATGGAATTACGGCTATGGAGTCGTTGAAAATGTAGCAGAAGTGCTTTGGGAAGTCTGCGTTATCACGAGCACATGTATTTGAGTGGCACTAGGCATTCGGTAAAGTTCATGAAGTCTTCGAAAACTTATGGATCGATTTAACATATTTTTGTTAATGTTTTCGGTATGAATCGTGTCAATATTAGACTCGTACCAAAAGACCTAAATCTTTTACAATAACGAGAAGACGTCCCGAACAATTTGCTTGACAATTGGCTGAGAACCCTAACATACACGCATCAAACCCATTCTTATTGATGCGAAACGTGGGTTTATAAATATGACATCGAAACAGTCCAAAAATTCAGCTAATGCTTAAATTTAAAAATAATGTCTTTAACATCTTACTGGGCCTAGCAACATAACGATTAAAATAACTTGTAGTTTACCTTATTTACGGATATACCCATACATACATACATACGTATATATTACATGAGGCATAAAATACACGCATAATATTAATATCAAAGCAATAAAATGACTGTTACAAATCACCCAACTAATATTTGTCTCTGTACTAACAGCTTTCTAGTTGCTAAAAAGATCATCAATAATTGTTAAATGTGCATTTATTTATAAAAGAGAGTCATGCTTAAAAATCAGGAACCACTCGGATTTCGGTATAAATAAATAATTAACTAAAGTGTGTATAGCCTAGAATGATGACTGACTCACTTCAGCGGCTTAGCTTCGTTTAACCACGAAGCGTTTAGCCATGTCTATCACGTATTCGAAAGTTTTGTGCCATGCATTGTAATGCGCTGGGTTATTCGATGCAGTTATGTTTAATTGGTGCTCAGCGCTGCATTTTGAACTTGAGCGACAGCACTGTTTCTTATTAAGTTCATATTAATTTTTACAATGGCCTTTTAAGTTTTTAGTATAATTCAACAAGTAAGTAAGGCCAGTTGACCTGCGTAAACGTTGTGAATTGATTTTTTATTCAGTCCAACCGTCATGGTATAGGTATATGTAGTTGCTGCAGGCACACATTTGCATATCACAATTTATATCAATCATTCCATCCAAGGGTGTTTGTTGGGAAATGTTTGCCGAAAGCCAAATGGTGCACGTAAAATTTAACCAATTGACTAAGATTTGGCACTGCTATGCTCTCCATCCATTGCTTTCCTGTTTTCTTTGCAAATTTATTTGCTTTCAGAGTAAATTGATTTATTTCACTAACGTTCACTTTATGTATATAAATATTTATCAGTGTGTGTATTGATATGTAATTAAATAATAATTACTGTCTAATCAAAAAGCAGTGAAATACATACAAAAGTAAATATAAGTATAAATCTTTAATATATAGACCTAACATGTTTCCGATTAAACCGTACAGTCTTAATAAACTGTGCTCGGTCTTTACTGGCACACAAGTTTGGAACGAATAAGCCAAGACGAGTTAATTTACAACTGACGGTGTGTTCTTCCGTACAAGCGATAACTTGAGTAAAAATTGACATATCTTGATGAAACATACATATGCATGTATGTATGTTCTTTGGCAACCAAGGTAAGTATGTGCGGTATCGGACTATTGCCACGCCCACAAGATGATGTTATCCAAAACCTAAAAAGTGCGACATCTAAAAATATTGAGATACGAAACTACAATATAATTTCGGAGTATGAATGGGCATCTGTTGTTGAAAAATGGGGTCGCCCTTTAATAGGTTGTGATATGTGAGACATCTTCAAGCAATTAGGAGAACATCTTTGTCTACTAGCAGCGTATCCTTGTACCTAAAATATATGAAAGTGGGTCAACAATAAATTGAGCCCCTATATATCAAACTTCCGGTTGAATTTATAGCGTATATATTGATCAAGCAATCTTAGCAAAATTAAGTGAACTATAATATTTGATGTACTACAGCTTAATTGGTTCACGAATTACCTTAACTTCTACTATTACTAAATATAATGATTTTCGTTCTATTGGACTTTATGCCTAATATGTTGGTCAGTGTATGATTGCGTGGAAACATGTTCTCTTATTTACTTATACTTAAGTAATGCTAAAAATTAATGCAATCAGTTCAGACCATTTGAGTTATTTACGTTGATTTTAAAATAAATATTTCGAAATCGAAGCAAAATGTAGTAATGAAACTTAGTAAGTGAATAAGATACCAAATATGATTGTAATCCATTCCGTTTCTTCGAGTCCGAGTAATGAAGGTTGAATTGTTACGCACATTTTTTTATTTGTAAATTTTTTTTTAAGTCCTCCAGCCATCATAACATGGATTACAGCTCTTGCTACAGGAAAATTAATGCGGAACCGGAACTCCTCAGGGGGGTGCATTGTCACCACTTCTGTTGTTATTTGCAGCTAATGAGCTTCTGAAAAAATTTGAAAAGAGAGCACTCAAGCTGATACTAGTGACGGGCAAGTTCCAGTGACGGGCAAGTTCCTAGATATAATTAACAACATGATGAACAACGTTCTAAGAATCATAAATCACGGGCGATATTGCCTAACCTAAAGGTAAATGCTGACAAGACGGATATGGCACTCCTTACAAGGAGGAACAAAATCCCGACATGGAAACTTCCAAAGCTCAACGGTAAGAACGACTCCAACAGCTGCACTAAAAAGGTTACTCAACCTACCACCAATCGACATTGCTCTGCAGCGTACTGCACGTTTCGCTAACTAGTCCCCCCCTGAAATGCAAAAATCTTTGTTTGTATCTTTGAGTTTGTCGAAAATTTGGTTGACTCCATGGATTGCCGGTTGCGATAATTTAATGGATTGATTTTCCGTGGATTCTTTTATAATGTATTTTACAAAAACTAAGGCCATCACTAGTAGAATAGTAATTAAACTGATGCTGGTTGCGTTTATAATTTTTTTTTGACTTTTCTATCAAGCTTACTTCTTTTGTGTTGTTGAAGTTTAGCGGTTTCAGCATCTCCAGCTAGACGATTTCTTCTTTCTAATTTTTACAATAGTTTTTTATTCCATAGTTTGTGTTTTCGCAATTTAGAATTGTTAAAACTGATTTTATTAATTCTTCCATTAATTTTTACAGCTCTAATGTCTATTGCTTTACAGATTTGGTTATCCACGGTTGGAATATTTACAATATAAATTATAATATTGCCATTTGTTGCAATTATATTTCGGAACATTTAAGAGCTTCGTGGAAATTTATGTATGAAATAATGTCTTTGTCTATTATTTTTCTTGCAATATCTATTTCTTCATTTGACAATATAAACGAATTTACTATATTGGCTTTTGCCAAATGTATTGCGTATGCGATATTCAAAACTTCTTCTATAACACTGGTAAACAAGATTAAAATTTTTTGTTTTATGAAGTTTCTAAACTATTTTCTACTAACAGCTCTAAACAAGGATGGGGAATGTTTTAAATATATCAGTAAAATATTTCCGAAATTGAGCATAGAAAAAATTAAAGCTGGTGGTTTTGACGGTCCTCAAATCAAGGAACTAATAAAATACCAAAATTTTGCTGATTGTATGACAGATAAGGAGAAATCGGCACGGATTGAATTTATTTGCGTTGTGAAAATCTTCTTAGGAAATTAAAAGTATCCAGACTATATTCAATACATTGAGCAGCTCATGTTGCACTTCCAGAGACTGTGTTGTAACATGAGCATTAGGATCCACTTCCTCTTCAGACATTTAGACCGCTTCCCAGAAATTTTAGACGACTTAAGCGAAGAGCGATAACAGAGTTTTTGGAATGCAAATATGATGGCTGAATACTTCTGGAGCATTGAAAACAAGACTGATGTTTCTAATTATACAAGGTAAGCACATAAAAGAAAGTTTTTTCATGATCATGTTTTTCTCTTACAGAAATTTATATTTTAATTTTTAAATTGTAGTACTTTGGCTAAAATTGTAATATATTCAAATTACGAAAACTAGAGCTGCTAGAAAAAAACTGACTCTGTAGTCAGTCATTTCGAATTAGCGTGGCAAAATCATACAAAATCGGATAAGAAACATTATAAAACAGAGCTACTGTTTCCTAGTGTAGTTATTTTTAATTTGTAGTATTAGAAATTTTTCATTTTGTATAGTTTATATAATATTCTATTGTAGGTTTATTAATTAGTACTTGGTTATTGTTATTTTGCAAGACATTATATATTTTACTTGAAGTTATTTCGTAGCCTTTTTGGTCTGAACTTCCTCCAATCCATTTCCATGCACTACCCAGAAAATTTATTGTTCTTTTTACTTTCTTTGTCTAATTGTTCAGTTGAGTTTTTATTCGCGTTATTAAGTGAAATATGAAGGGGTAGTTATGTTAGAATTTTTGCGGATTGGATCAGTTTCAGTTTTCGTTTCTATATGGTGAAGGGTTTCCGTGTAACTTTCTATGTCAATTTCGTGTATTATTTTAAATGTTCCTGTTTGTAGTCTAGCTGTTCCTTTTTCTACTGTTATGAGTTGTGCGTTTGAATAATTGAGTATATATACTTCCACTAGGCATAACGATAGTAATAGCCTGGAAAAGAATGTCGGTACTTATTTAATTACGTACCCTACTTTGTAAAATATTTGTCCTTTTTCAGTAAACACGCCACTATTTCTACCTTCTTTATCTATCTCATCGAGGAAAATCATTCACATTTCTATGAAAAAATAGGCCGACCGGTATTTTTAATCTTGTGGAACGAACGAAATGTTTATATTCGGACACTGCTCTTTCTAAAAGTTTTTCCAAATTTCTGTCCACCAA